ATCAAGTCAAGCCAAAGTGGTTTTTGCTGAGTGGTGCTCCAGAAGTCTCTGCAGCCCAACTGAAGAGATTGTTAGCGTTGGGGCAGAGTGAGCAATAATGCTAAATGTGGAGTAAATTGATGGATAGGCTGTGTACAGCTTGTAATATCCCAAAGGCCATTCCATGTTCACTGGATATAAAAATTTAGTCAGACTAGGGATATTTTTCTATTTTCCAGAAGTTGTCTATATTATGAAGTAATAACAGGTACATACTTTAAAAAGAATATATTGGCAGTAGGAAACAGTAGAATGGAGAAATTAAATCTTTTGTGATGTTTTTCTTGTTTCCTAGTTAATTAATTCTGGGACTGACCATTCAGTGTATATAGAGGCAGAGAGACAAAAAGCTCACCAAACTTAATGCTGTTTGACTGCAGAGGAGTAACAATATCTGAGCTTTTAAAAGTGAGAAACAGCCTGCTAAGTTGCTTCTAATTTCAAAGGCCAGAGCATGAGAAGGACGACACAGGAGAAATTTAGAGGGTCCTTTATAAGGCAAAGACCATTCTGTTTGCTGACACATTAAGGCACAAGGACATAGAAAGATTTTACCATGGTTTATGAAGTCCTGGTGGGGCTGGGCCTCAGTATCTGCAAGGTAAGATCTGCCCCTGCCCCAAAGTGTTGCTTCTTCATGTCACCCATTTCATAGACAATATAAAACCCAAGCAATGATGGTGCTTTATTTTTTTTTAAAGTTCTGCAGTTTGAGCCATGCAGTATTCTCTCTCCAAAACCAACATGCACTTGATTGCACTCTATCTTAGTGTACTAGAACTAATCTGCTAAAATATTCATGCAGCAAAGAAAAATGGGAGTAAAAAAAAATAAAGTATGTGCAGTGTGTCAGAATTAATGTGCCTACTGGAACATTAACTTTTGTATTTCTAAGATTTTTTAACCTTGCCACCTTAATGATGTTCTGACACAGCATTTTACATTTAGTATTTTTCTCTTTTTCAAGTTCAAAGACAAAATGAAATAAGGATGGGAAAGGGAGGGGTAAGTGGAAGAAAATAAAAGAGGACCAGGCACAGTAGAGCTGAGTCCTTTGCTTTGCAAGTAAAGCTCATAAATACCTTGAATAATTTCATACATAGGATGAAATTTAGAGCATGCAAACATAGAAACCTATGCAATAATTAGGCAGGAAGAAAAAGAGTTAGTGAGATTTAAGTTATACATATGCAGAGCTGACCCTTAGATAGTTTTAAATACATTTCACCCTCATATGGCCACTCTTCTAAATGGGTGTGCAAGAAAAATTAATGCATTTGCATGGAATATCCCTCATGTCTGTATTTTGTTTTCATTTTTTAGCTATGTATTTCTGCTGCACGTGCTTAACAGTGAGCAGACTTTATCAATACATTATTTTAAAAAATATATAAGGCATTTATGATGTTAAAGGCTCCTGCATAAACTGCAAGAATGATTTTGAAAACATTGAAGTTGAGTACCTAACTCTATTCTGCCCCCAGCTACAAATTAGAGATGAAGCTTTGTATGCTCTTACTCATATAATGAAAACTTATTTTTGGCAACAAACCAGCCTGGGAAAAGTATATTCCAAACTGCAAATTTTATAGAAGTTAAGAGTGTGAGAACAAAGAGGAGAAGAAAGAAAGGCGGTTTGTAATGAAGACAGGTTCGTCCAGTGTAGCGCTGTTGGGCATACTGATCACCTGCTGCATCAGGTCAGAGAGCACATCTAAACCGTCATGGAACCTGAATGTACCTAATCCATCTTCCAGGTGTTCGTGTTTCCTTTCCCCCAGCCTGCACAAGAGCCCTGCACAAATGCATTTTCTCTGTAGGATTATACAGGTCTTTCTGCACAAAGCCCATTGCAAGAGATGGTCTGTGGGCAGCTCTCCAGTGGAGCACGTCCTGTGTTAGCACTGAGGTGATGAACTTTAATTAAGAGGAGGAAACCCAGAGCATCCTTAATTCATGAAAATAAACTTCTGTCCATTGTTTTAAAATTGTATCTTTTAAAATGCATTTTAAATTCAAATAGGAGAGCTCAAGCTTTAAGGTATTCCTTCATTTTCTGGCTGAGCAAACCCTTTGCAGAATTAAATTGCATTCTGTGGAAATATTCATGGCCAAGGATATAAAAATATGAATCAATGCAGAAAAAAAAATATTATAAATTCTAGATTCTTCACTCTCCCAGATTTCCCTATAAATCTGAAGCATATGCAGTTCTTCATCATACACTTTTAATCAAGGCTATAATGAAGTGTGTGCTCAGGTCACTTAAATGAACTACATTTCTTGTGTCTAAGTTTAATTAAAATATCTCTTCGCTGAATTGTGTTGTGCAAAATTTTCGTTTGTTTTATGTTGGTTGTAATTACAAGTGGTAACCCGCCATGCAGCTTTATGTACTTCTCTCATAAACCTGCAGTTTAATCTGTATGAGAGGGTTAAAGGCACAGGTAGGAGCATTATTCTCCCTAAAACAACTTTCTCTGTTGCACAGGTTTCCAGATAAATAGAAGTCTGCTAATTTCCGAAAAAATGTAGCTTTATCTAGCATGAACTGACTTTCACCTTCTCACTGCCTCTGTTCCCTTTACTGCTTTCTTGGATTCTTTATCTATAATTAGACCATAGACTAAATTCACAGAAATATTTTAAATGCGTATTTAATAGTAAGCATGTGCTTAAATCCTGGGGGGTACAACAGGAATTAAGTGTTTATAAGTGCTGTGGTAATTAGGGATTGGATCTATCTGCCTTGTTGGTTCAGGATGTTTCAAATAGAGACAGGTCCCTTCTTTGTCCTTTCAGTCTCGTACCACCAAAATCGTACTTGGCTGCCTGGGAGGAAGTCCGTTGATAGCTGTCACTGAAAATGTGGTACTTGGGTTGTGCAAAGTTTGACATCCATTCATCCTTGACAGGCAAAATTGCACTGGGCTGCCTAGTTAGCAGTGTCTTGACAGCAAGAATGTTGTGCCCTGTGGATTCATGGGGGGGTTTGAGTGGTTACGGAGTGGACAGACATCACGAATGCCTTTGGGTTGCCCAGCGCTGGGAACTTGATATGAAGAACTTGTGGGGAAAAAGTGGGTGATGATTAACTCCATTATTGGTCTCGTGGCCCTGCTCTGTTTTACATCTGCCTTTATCAGGTCAAACTGATGTGAAAACAGACTGTGTGATGTGAAAACAAACTGTGGAAGTGTTTATTGTTTTAATCAAAAAGCCAGATGGATCAGGCTAAAACCAGAAGGACTGCCATCTCAGATTAACGCAGATGTACTGGGGGTTCATCCAACCCTGTATCTCCACTATAAAGGTTGAGCAGAGTCATTCTACACAGATGTACTGGGGGTTCATCCAACCCTGCATCTCCACTATAAAGGTTGAGCAGAGTCATTCTTCTCTGAATACATATTCCTACCTCTCAGCCCACAAAAGATTAGGGACTCCCTGCGCAAGACTCCCATCTGAATTGTCACATTTAAAGAAACACAACATTTAACAAACCATTACAGAACTTCCATGAATATACCATCCTTTTTCAGATGTCTGGAGCATCCTGTGGCAAGGACTTCCATACAATAATGCAGGTGTCTTCCAAACTTTTGTGTGATTACACTAGAAGCACTCTATAGGGCTCTTATATGATACTCTTGAAGTCAGTCTCCCAGGGCATACGCAGTCACAAAAGTACAATTCTTAAGAGCAATTCGTTAGCATGAATCAGAGATGATGCTTTGAGGGCTTCATAAGGAGAAGACAATTGTGTGGGATAAGCAATAATCTTTGTGAGTTAAATTTTGTCAGCTGTGCCTGTCTTTCTTGGTGGTGGCTGAGTACTACTCAGTTGCAGAGAGATGTATTAGCAACGCTGATGTCAAAGCAGAAAATGGAATCCAAGTATTGCCCATGCCTCTTCTTCAGGGTCCTCAGTGCTCTGTGAGGTTGGGCTGCTTATAATTCTTTTTTTTAGGTGAAGGTAATGAGTGCCTTGTAGAAAGGGCATAGTTCTTTGGTGTTTAATATAGAAGGCTACAGACACACTGAAAAGACCTAACTGATCTTAACACTTCTAAAGGCAATGCCTTTGTTTTCTCTGTGGTTCCTTTTGTTTAATCTTTATATAAAATTTCATCCACAGAATTCACCTGCTGCTGAAAACTTCCATGATCATTTAATTCTCTGGTATACTACAATTTCTCTTCATCTCCCACTATAACAAGCATTGTGTACATAACCCATTAAGGCAAAGCCAAAAGTCCCTGTTATTTTCTCAGTGCTATTAGCCTTTCAGCTGTCATACCACCTTTTTACTGAAATTCTGCCAAGTCCTCCAGGCTAAGCAGAGTGAATATATATCAGCAGGGACCTCCAAGAAGCATAAGCTATTTCAATATTTGGCATACCTTTCTCTGAATCACCTCTGAACAAAGCAGGGTGGTAGCAAAATAATATCAGGATGTTAGAGGATTTGCATTTGGCAGAAGTACATAATATTTCTTCCCATTTGTGGTGATTAAAAATCCCAAGTCACTTTCTATAAGAGAAATACCATGTTGTCCTGACTCAGCTGTAGTGCTGAGCAAATGTATTTTGGAGGTACTGTACGGTGGGTTTAGTTTTCCCATGTGGTGCTGCCTTTGTTCTCAGTTTCTGCCCTCTGGTTTGGCTCTTACACTTGATTCCTCACTGACAAAATGATACTTGACTGTAAGCTGAAGATACGGTTACAGGAGTTATACAACTATCTCTTCCCCTGCATTCCCTTGATTCTTCGTCTGCTATCCCCATTTTCGTAGATGAGGAATGAGTAATTAAGAGACTTGCCCATTTAAAGAATTTTATGGCAGAGACACTCACACATTCTACCTTGCTGCCAGAATATAATTGATAACTCCCTGGTGTGGGGGCTGAAATTTGTTTAACTGTCTCACCACATTTCCTATTTTTGTTTTCTCTTTCAGACTAACAGCTAAAGCCGTTGCTGTTCTCTTACCAATCTTGGGAAGCTCATGGATCTTTGGGATTTTGTCTGTCAATGCCCATGCATTAGTATTTCAGTATATATTTGCTGTTTTCAATTCACTACAGGTAAGTACCTGGTGGGAAGATTTATGGCTACCGAACTGCTGCTGAGACCCAATAAATGGATCATTAGCAATGTTTTCACATGCTTGTGTTCACTGGGTTTCTCCTGTTCCTCCTCAGTCTGTGCTGACCACATGGTGCTGGAAATGGTTTAGTCTCTGTATGGACAGAACTTTTATCTCACTTCTTAGTGTTTCCAGTAGCAATAATTAAATAAATGAGATAGTGAGCTTGCAAAATGAAATTCATTTTTTCCAGGACCATGTAGTACAGGTAGGATTCTTCAGTAGAGATACAAGAAAAATTTTGCAGTGTCAGTCTGAGGCTTTGCTACTGAGACTAAAGGAAAGCAAACAGAAAGCGCAGCCTAAGGAGCGAAGTGGAGCTGACCTGCACGCTGCACAGGACCTGTGCACATAGACCGCTGCCCCCTCATCTTCTTAAGACACCAGTACAGAAAAATAGCTCTGCCCAAGAAGGAATGTAAGCATCTGCTTAGCTTTAAGCAGACATTTCAGTAGATGCATAAATCTATAGATGTGTTATAATTCTTTCCTGAATAATCATTACAAAGGCAAAGGAAAAATGAACTCCTGTAAATCCTTTTTTGTCTCAGGATCAAATAGCAGTATGGTCACCAAAAGAGTGCAACAGAGTTCTCCTCTTAAGCTGATAAGAAAAAGGTTCAATTTTAATCCAAAATAAATTAAAAAAAATAACTTTGGCTGACTATTCCCCAGAAGAAAATAAAATCATTTTGGGAGGGAAAGA